CTTAGAAAGTGACTAAGGAAGTGGAGAAATTTGTGATAATTTTTATTTTTTATGCTCTGGGTCATGAGGGAGAGCATAATAGTGGCTTATTATGCTGGCACACTCCGCCTATTGGCCTGGCATCATGGAAATGTGCCTGGTTTATTTTATGGAGGCAATCTTATAAAATCTGGATGCAGTGTTTGTTTTTTATTTAAAGCTTTGATCAGAAAATCAACTGTGGAAGCACCTGTTTAGATTTTGTAACTAGAGAGGACTAAGAAAAGAAGTCTGGGAATGTTATGGTAAGAAAAGAGGACTAAGATCCCTGTCAGCCACCTAATGTTGCTGCTGCCACCCCTAAAAAGTGTTCTGGGTACACCACAGATGAAGCGCATGCTCTCCATTATTAGCTGGGGCTTCTGCTCCCAGTCCTTTCTCCTGCCCCGGTAAGCTGGCCTGTGTCTTGTGTGCTCTTAGGGTTCCTCTTTCCCCCTTAGCACTAGGCCCAATTTGCCTTTATGGTGTGGCCCGATCCTGTTTTCTTCATAACCTCCCAAGTTGGAGGAGCCCCAAGGTCTGGGATTTATAGCGTCTCCAAGGCCAGGAATAAAGATCAGAGAGATCCAAGGGAGAAAAGGTTCCCCTCTTCAGTTCTATTTATAATACCTCTACTCCTCCCACTAAAAGCTCCACCTTTTAGTACAGTGGCCCCATTGTATATCTTGGGCACTCTGTTTTCTCTTGGACCTGTACAAGAGAGGAGAGAGTGTAGAGAGAGTGAATATGAATGTGTGGAGACAGTGAGTGTAAGTCAGAGTGTGTGTGTAGAGAGATGAGAGTGTGTTGTGAATGTGGGTTTGTGTTTCTTCAAAAGGTTAAGTGGGAAAATTTAGGGGTGATTCATAAAAGTGGGGAGTGATTGGGAAATAGAAAATATGGAGATTTCTGCTTGTCTTTGTTTGGAGAGTGGCTTCAATATTGAAATTAAGCTATTGTGCTAATGAATTACCACCTAAGGATTCAAGGCTTTTTGCTAAGGACTTTATAAAGGGAGACATCTTAAATTACTGTGTACGCTTAAATATAAGTTTATTTTTATCTGTTTGCCTGTTCAGATTGGGCTTTGCATTTGTTTTTGTTAAGAAGTAGCTGTATAGGAGAGATGAATACATTTTCATTCAATCGGAGGAGGTAAATTTAATATTTAAATATGTGAGGTAAGGTAGGTGTTCGGGTCTTGGACAGGAGGACGTAATAGACCAGGAGAAGGTTCAGGTGAAAAGAACCAAGAAGAGAACGTACCAGGCAGGGCAGAATAGGGAAGTCGGTGAGGAGAAAGTGTGAATAGTACTGGAAATGGAAGAAAATTCAGTTAGGTTAAAGGTCACATGCTGGGTGTGGTGGTTCATACCTGTAATCCTAGCACTTTGGGAGGCTCAGGTGGGAGGATTGCTTGAGCCCAAGAGTTTGAGACCAGCCTGAGCAAGAGCAAGACCCCATCCCTACAAAAAAAAAAAAATAGAAAAATTAGCTGGGCCTGGTGGCATGCACCTGTACTGCCAGGTACTGGGAGGCTGAGGCAGGAGGATTCCTTGAGCCTAGGAGTTTGAGATTGCAGTGAGCTATGATGATGCCACTGCACTTCTACCTTGTCTCAAAAAAAAAAAAAAAAAAAAAATCACAGGAAGAAGATTAATTCCAGCACTCTCTGAGTTTGTCAATACTATTCCTTCTTTCAGAGACTTCCTGGTATGCATTTTCAAGTCTGTCTTGGGCCACCTTTTTTCCTGATGAGTGCCCATACCACAGTTCAAGGGGTAGGGCACACACCCCTTGTAGAAGAGAAAATAAGGGCTGTGGCTGGTTGGAAATTGTCAGGAACTCCACAGTGTTAAGTATAGCTTAGCATTAAATAGAAGCACTTTACCCTTTTGTAATTTAGGGGAATTGAAAAAGTATCTTGGAAAAATTTGCTCTTGAGAACAAAGTCTTTTGTGCATATGTCTTTATTGTTGGCATAGAACATTTTCTGGGATGGGCTCTTCAAATCTCTCCCTCTAAATGGTACCAGAATTCCAAGAACATCTAGATATATCCAGGCTGGCACATTGTGATCATGAAAACAGAAGTTAAGACATTTAAGAGGCAAGAAAACAAAATGGATAGGTGAGGTGACTAGGAAGAATAAATAGCATGCCCACCAGCTTCTAGGCTTCTCAAAGAGAGGAGCATCACT